AAAACGGACGTCAAACCAGCAGAAGTACCCTTTATAGGTACGTTTCATACCTACTAACAGAAGGGGGATGTAAAGGGGAAGGAGGTCCAGAAAAAAATTGCAAGGTCCACTTTAAGTAAGGCTTACAGACTGTGAACAATAACTTGTAGCAGATACGTTTATGTATAAATTCACCAGACTCACAATATAATCCGGTTCCCATAGATCAGCGGTTCTCAACCTTTCTAGTGCCAGGCGACCCCTAACAGTAAAATTATTTTCGTTGCTCCTTCATCGCTGTAATTTTGCTACCGTTAGATAGCTATTAGATAGCGGCTCCGCCCGGGAGAGAAACACTTTCTCCCAGAAAGGTTTACTCTGCTCGATCGAAGAGGACCTGATGGAGAACTTCAGGTCCCCCACTGCTGATTGACAGCAGCATTGGGCGGGTGCAATAGCTAGTTTGCTATTGGCTATTGCAAAGTGAAATAGCCAATAGGAATCTAGCTATGCATTCCTATGCTGTTTTTTAAAAATCTTTTTTTCTGACTGATGGCGGCCGGCGGCTCCGATGTAAGAAAAAAAAAACCCAGAGCAGGGAAAGGTTTACTCGATCGAGCAGAGTAAACCTTTCCGGGAGAAAGTGTTTCTCTCCCTGGAGGCCGGGAGCCGCTATCTAATAGCGGGAGACTCCCGGAGCGTGCGGAAGAGTTGGGATGTCTGCAATTACACGTTTTACAGATTAGAATAGACCAAAAAAACTCATTTCTGATGGTTTTAGGCGACCCCTGGCAAATCGTCATTCGACCGCCGACGGGGTTGCTACCCACAGGTTGAAAAACGCTGCCATAGTTGAATGAAGAATGGCTGCTGGGATTTGCATGTTTGAACAGTCAACAAACAAACATGGTACAAGTAGAAAAAACCTGCACTGAGTTCCCACACTGTATTAATGTCACACGTAGCTTTTGTGCAGACAATCCCTGTGTCAGAGCACAATAATACAAATATATATCGCTTGTACACGAATGCAGAATGTCTGTTTACATAAAACTCCCGGCAACGGTGCAATCAATCAATGAGTGCAATGACCACATGGGGTAAGGCCAGCACTGGTTACTGGTCCCTATGGGAAGCATAGCTGTAATGGAAGATAGAACATACAATAGATTACAAAATGGAAGCCTGCCAGGGGTATTCACCATTCCCTACTTTATCCAAAATGAAGTAAAAATATGTTGACCGTGTGCAAACTCTAACAATTAACTATTTTGTTCCATACCGGTCTGTTATATATATATATAGCATGAAAGGAGCCTGCTAATAGGAGGAGAGACCAGAATGACAGAGACAGTGACATGGAGATGAACTCATCAGTCTGCTGCTTCTCCTTTCACTGTCCAGTCACAGGCTGGTGGAGGGATAAGACCTGGAAGTGTGACTAAACTGCATTAGAGGGAAAAAAACAGCTCCCATATCCGAATTTCATCTTTTTGCCTGGATTATCGGTTTACAACTGAACTCCAAGAATGATCTTTTATGGATACTTCCATTGGTCCAGCTTGGCTGAATGTAGGTAGAGGTAAGACGAGGTGGAGATTGTGACAACATCCGCCCCTCTCATCTAGCTCGTCCAATCAGAGAATGTTTTGCATTGATTTTAAAAAATACAAGGAGCTCTCTGAATGGTGGCGGTGCTGAATGAGCAGATCCCTGTGCACCGTGCACAGAGGGGAAACCGCTGGAACCGCAGCCAGAGGAGGCCAGCACGGACTGTATGAACCTGAACCCCTGAACAACTCTTTCACAATCTGAGCCTGATGAATCCCGACATTGTACTCTTGGAATATGCCCAATGTGCCATCAGGGAAGAAAAAATCCATTGATGTGAAAACCTGATCATTCAGGTCGGCAGCTGACCTCATTTTTTTGGGGACATAATGTTGCTGAACCTAGACCTATCATCCAATGGAAGGCTCCGACCTATTTGCTGTAAATCCAGGCGGTGACTTTTTTTGGGGGCTACGCAGTGTATAATCTCTTTAATAACAGGGATATTCACAAAAGGGTGAAGAGTTTGGAGAAGGCAGGAGAAGTGAACAATCTAAGACAACATGGCTGATGTGGAAAGTGACCTGAATTGGAGAATTTTTCCAAATCAGCGATGTTGTCCTAGATTGTTCACTTGCCCTGCCTTCTCCAAACTCTTCACCCTTCTGTGAATAACTCTGTATATGTTCAGCAACTGCCCATTACTGTTTTTGTAAAAAGTTTTCTAATAGACACAAAGTACGTAGACGGAAAATTGTGATATCATGTTCGCTCTTACAGTCGCGTCAGCGGATTAGCATAGTGTATAAAGAAAAGTGTTGTGTTGCAGTCACAATTATCTCCTAGTAACAAGATATAAAACTGTTTGAATGGGAACTCGGGGAACAAAAGACTCAGAAAAGAGCAACCCAGGAAATGAGCAAACAACCCTTACAAACCCGATACGGAGCAACTGTCTCCAGAACAAATACATACCTAATTGCAATGAATGTCCACTCTGCCCTAAAGTGATATTGTAGTTATTGTAGTTATCTGGCTTCCAATACATCTTGAAATTCCAAACATTAAACTTTTCCTCAATAGTTCCCAACTGTTGCTCTTCATCTGGGAGTTTTCCTGCCCATTTTGTGTGTTGCAGCATTTCCTGATCCATTATTGATAATATAAACTTAATATGAAATCCAATTAGGGGACCAAATTATGAACATGTGGTATGGTCTTAGCACAGCCATACCCCTGCGCGACAACGCTCAACATGAAGCTTGCCACTATATTTAGGGATGCATCGATACTAGTATCGGTGCCAATACAGAGTATTTGGGCGAGTACTCGCACAAATGCTCAGATACTGACCACCGATACAGGAACTTCCGATCAGAGGGAGATCACCCTCTGACTGGCAGTGCTGGGGGTGCATGGAGCCGGCTTCCTTTCCAATCAGGAAGCCGGGCAGTGGGTTATGACCCGCCACCTGGCTTCCTGATTGGCAAGGAAGCCGGGCTGCCTACCAAAAAGTGAAGCTGGCCTCCTAGCCAATCAGGAAGCCGGGTGGCACGTCATGACTTGCATCCCAGCTTCCTGATTGGTCAGGAAGCCATGCTGCCTAGAAACAAGTGAACCCGGCTTCCTAGCCAATAAGCCAGAAGATAGGTCGTGACATGCCCCTTCGCTTCTTGATTGGCTAGGAAGCCAGCTCCACTTGTTGCTAGGAAGCCTGGCTTCCTGACCAAACAGGAAGCCGGACGATACCTCATTAATCTCCGCCCGGCTTCCTGATTAAAGAAGTAAGGCAGCCTCTGAAGCTGGTGTTCTTTCCCTAGAACACTGGCTTCACAGAAAATCCGGGAGATGGGTCATGATCCGCCACCTGACTTCAGGGCACAATGCACCAGTACTCGGTATCGGCGAGAAGTAAAAAAAATATCGGTACTCATACTCAAAAAACGCTGAATCCCTAATTATATTTCATGGTACTCAATTATACCTTAGCATTGTGCTACTGCGAAACATACATACGTTTCCTTTTTTTTGGCAGCATCACATATTTTTGGCCCCAAAGAGTTCAATGGAAGCTTTCGAAAATGCATGACAAGTGTTTTAGAGCATTTTTGCATCTAACAACTGGCCTGCTCCTCCTAGCAACCTCAGGCCTGTCAACAAAATAGAGTGTCAATGCTGCATGTGGAAACCTTTATCCACCTGGTGAGAGCCCACAACATCCTCTACAACCCCAGTGATGCTCATTACAAGAACTGTGGCAAGCAGCAGAGGGCCTGGGAAGAAACTGGACTTTACTCAGATTGGGAGCTCTGATAGTACTAGACAAAACCACACAGAAAAAACAAGGAGCAGATACAAGGACAACAATGGCAATTGATGTGACAGATGATACTGCTTTCCTTCGGCCAAAACAAAAAATGTCTGCAGCTTGAAAACACATGACAATGCTCCATAAACCCGTGTTCAAGCACCAAAAAACATTCAAAAAAAGCTTCAAAATTGCCTAAAAATATTAAAGAGAACTATCAGGTGAGTGATTTACACTCATCCTCATAGTTAGAGTCGACGTGTGACAATTAAACTGTCACACGTCAACTCTATAGATCGGGAGGTGAGCGAGCGCATAACGTCGCTCCCTCACTTGCTGATTATCTCCCTGCAGAGAGCGGAAACTGTCAGTCACCACTCCCCGCAGGGATTGCCGCCCTCCCCGATCCTCCAGCCCTGACTGTAGGAATGGACAGGGGAGGGGGCGGGCACAGCTGGCTCTGCCTCTAGATAGGCAGAGCCCGCTGTCAATCAGCCAGTTGGGTGGAACTCGACAGTATTGTCAGGATCCGTCCCTGGTGCTGCGCTCTCAGTATATAGCGGGCAATAGCTTGCTATACACTGAGCTTTGGGTCACGGGAGGAGGTTAGAATATGTCCTTCTGTGACCCTAAAGAGAACTACCGTGTTTCCCCGAAAATAAGACAGTGTCTTATTTTTTTTTAGGGATAAAAAGATTACCCAATAGTTCTCTTTTAAGGTCAAGTTTAAAGGGGTGCTAAAGCCAGCAAAGGTCCAATAGTGTTAATTAAAGAAAAAGAGAGGAAAGCCCAGTCATGTGACCTCTCAAGACCACCCTCTCCTCCAATAATGGAGTGTTCTCTGCAGCATTCAGCACCGAGCACTCCGTGGGACAACGAGAGCTCCAAAACATGTATTATAACTTATTCATAAAATACAGGTGCGGTGTGGTGTAAACACTGCGGTATCCAGTATACTCGCCTCCCTATAAACAGGGCCCTAAGAGAGTAGGAACTCCTCATAATGGTCACAGCAGGTGTGCAGACATATAAACAAAAGATCTCCCCAGAAGATGTAAGAAATTGTCGGATGGTTTAACACTCCAGCATCTATTAAAACTGAAATATCAATTTTTGGGTGAACTGACCCTTTAAACTGTCAGTTTTATCTCTATGCACTTACCATCTTCAGTGAGTTTGGGGAGTGTTGAAAATACATTTCGGCCCGCATCCTGCATAAAGTCCAACATGTTCTAGTCCTGCAAGAAAGAATTTACAAGGAAGGTTAGAAGATGGCTACAATACGTTGCCGATACATTTGTTTCAGCCTATAGAAAACTGGTGAAGTTGTTTTGGACACAGCAAATTACACAACAACCAATTGATTACATTCGAGAACCTAATAACCCCTAAAGTCTGATAACCCGCTAGCCCGAGATGCTGGATTTTTGAGCCATATGAAATTTCAGCTTGAGCTATTGAGCTTTGCAAACAAATGGATTTTTTATAACTGGAGGAAAGCAGAAACTGAAAAGAACATGTGAAAAGGAGCATCAAATATAATTATAGACAAAACAGTAAAAATCAGTATAAAAAACTTGCCTGATAAATAAATGGAATGTTATCTCTATTCATCTCAAACCTCATTCATTCCTTTATTAAAGTGACACTAAACTCAGAGTGAAATCATAAAAATACATTCAAGTCCCTTAAAGGGGATCTAAACCCTCCGGTTTTTTTGGCTATATCTACTGCTAGCGAGCAGTAGATATAGGCAAAAAGTTTTGTTTTTTTTAAAAACCCCGCTTTAACAGCGGTTTAAACTTACCTTGCGCGCTCCCGTCCGAGAATCTGAAATTGCTCGGGCGGCCGCAAAGCATCTTGGGGAGGGCGCATGCGCAGTTCAGATTCTCGGGCGGGAGACGAGCAGAGACGTAAGGTAAGTCTATGGACGCGTGCACCCGCATGCAGACACCGTGGGAGAGGAAGTGCCAGCAAGGACAGAGGAGTCAGCGCTGGATCGGAGACCCGCCGCACCGCTGGAGGGACAGATGAAAACATCAGGAAAGAAGAAGAAGATCGGATTAAGAAACCATATTTAAGGTAAGTGCTTTCATTAACATTGGGGGGAGGGAAAACGTTTTTAACTTTAATGTCACTTTAACTATTACCCAAAATTTATCTTATTTGTGTATCACTCGGCTGTAGATCCTCAGGGTAACCTATCTCCTCTTATCAGTACAGCTTCTGAACAACCTTGCTGTAATGATCCACATTCCCCGAGCCTTCTCTCCGCACTCTACTCTTCTAACCTCTAGTATGTCTTGTCGGGCACTATATCAAGCTTACTGAGCCAAACCTTATCACTGGAAGATTGGGCTCTTAGCCGCAACTCCGAAAAGTTTCAGAAACATTCTAACCTTGGAAAACTCTTATAAGGTTCTCCTTATTCTGAGAATACATGTCCCCATAGCAGAATTCCTCTCACCAGGCTGCGTGTCGATCTCACCCAGGCAACATCCACGTCTGGACCGGCGATGCTGGGACCCGGGCTCAACAACTTCCGGACTGACGATGCTGGGACCCGTCCTCAACAACTTCCGGACCGGCGATGCTGGGACCCGGCCTCAACAACTTCCGGACCGGCGATGCTGGGAAGCGGCCGCTCCGGCTCCACTGCCTGTAGTTCCACCCCTGGAGCTGGCCATGGCGGTACCTGCGTTGGGAAGGAGATAAAGAACCGGACAGGCACTGCCATGGACAGCTATCTGCAGGTCCACAGCAGGCTGTCGAGGTTCCCACTAGCGCGGGAACTTGGACAGCCACTGCGGTTTAAAAATGTAATTTCAATTTCGGAACCGGGGCATTTTCATAAGTATCGGCCCCCCATATTGATACTAGTATCGGTATCTGGACATCCCTAATAAAAACCATTGGCAAGTGTTATTACCGTATTTTTCCGTCTATAAGACGCCCCCATGTATAGGACGCCCCCCACTTTTCTTACCCAAAATTCAGAAATCAATATTTTCCATGCTCTTTTGCATAACTGATTACATCCAGTTTAAATTTTGCAGCCGCTTACTGGTACCGGTATTTTTTTTGTTTTCTGACATTTTTATGGGCTCCCTGTTACATCTGGGCACTGGCTACACGCTCTCCGCAGCATCAGCTGACGTCGGGTGCATAAGGCTCATGATTGGAGGAAACCTGTTAGCTTGTCTCTGCAATCAGAAGTTTCACTCGTGAGGCTAGTCAGCAGAGGTATCGGCAGTTTCGCAACCGCGGTTCTCCTCTCGGCCCCCCGTGTATAAGACGCCCCTCCATTTTTAGGTAAATATTTTTAAGAAAAAGTATAGTCTCATACACGGGAAAATACAGTAAATAAACCCAACCTCAGCCTCTATCAGAGGAAAACAACCCTCACCACACTGCCACCCAGTGGCGTCACAAGGGGGGTGTGGGGGGTGCGGCTCACACCCGGGTGACACCAAAATGACTGACTGTCGATCACGTCCGGCGTCCATCACCTAGATGGCTGCCGGCAGGTGTCAATAAGACGACATGCGCGATGACGTCACGGCGGGGTGTCACCCGGTCTCTGCTCCGGGTGTCATCCAGCCTCGGGACTACCCTGCTGCCACCAAAATGACCACAGCCAAGGCCTGGAAGTCCTCCACCTTGAACATCGTAGAAGTTGTAAATTGGATGGAATTGTGGTCATTGGGAAACTAACGGCCATTATAAACAATATCTAGAAATGATTTTTAAAAGTTTGGCAACCAACGCTTCCGACTCTTCCCCAGGTAGGACGATCTTCTCCTGAACACCATCCAATCCCAGTGCTCATCTAGGCCTCCCACTTACCATAAAGAAGTCCTGGTTTCCTCCTTGTAAGCTCGCAGCCCAAACACGCGCCTCATTAATGCACACAAGTGTGCATGGGGCCTCAGGGAGTGTCAGGGGGGTAATATTCAGGGGAGAACAATGCGTTTTCTTAGAACAATGACACAACTTGAAAGGCGACGGGAGGATAATCGGTTGTTATAGGTCACTCTATATTGCACATCTCTCCATTCCTTCAGGCACAACGTTCGGTAGCCAATGTCGGCAGAGCGTTATGTACATTGTTTTCATGGCTTTGTACATAGTAACGCAGGTTTCACATTTTCACATTTTATGTGTAGTAACACACTTTTGGAAGTTATGGAAAGGTGGGAAAGGAATGTTACATTTACAGCAATAAAATAGCAAACTGCTATCTATTTAGATGCATCAGTTTAAAAGTCACATTTCACAACACTTCCTGTTTTAGGGTGACAACGCTCACTTATTAACTTAGTTTAGATGCAGTGTTGTCACCCTTTACTGCACACTCCACGAAACTAAATTATTGGCTATCATGACCCATGTATTGGTTATCATGACCCATGTATTGGCTATCATGACCCATGTATTGGCTATCATGACCCATGTATTGGCTATCATGACTCATGTATTGGCTATCATGATATATGTATTGATATTATTTGTCCATGTATGGACTATCATCACCTATATCACTGTCTCCCTTATCACCGTCTCCCTTATCACCGTCTCTCCTATAAGACAGATTCACTCTCTCTAACTGTCCTGATCACCAACGTCAACGGGGATGGAAGGGAGCGTAAACCCTAATTCTTGAGTTGCCCCAGAACAGGATTAGGGCTCGCTCACACTTCTGCGTTTAACGTACTACAACACGTGTGTCGTGGTTCCGAATATTAAAGATAGAACCCGTTCCCATCTCTGCGCTGCAATGCCGTGTTTCAAAAAATATGACATGTCCGATTTTTGTTGTGTTTTAGTGTGTTGGGCAGTCCCATTAAAGTCAATTGCAGCGCATCAAATCACATACATAACATGCGTCATGACGCACTAGCCAAACGTACTAACCAACCTTGGTCAATGGCTGTCAGCTCCATCAACTCCACATTCAAAATGCAGCAAAAACGCACATCAAAGCACATAGCAAGATGCAAAGGGAACGCATGTTGGCACGTAACAGCGCACCTGCCTAAAGCTGCAAAAAAATGCGCCTCCACGTACACGCAGAGATCTTATCCCTCGAAGGTTCTGAATAATGCAAAATGTAAAAAGGGAAAGCATGGACGTCATCCTTATTAAGGAGGGGCTCGGGCGTGTTCGCAGCTCCACATGCCGAGCCCGCCAGGAAGCTGACAGCGCGCAACGCCAATCACAGGCACTGAGACATTTCTCCATCTCTGCAGCTGCGGACCGGGATAATGTCTGTGATTGGCGCTGCGCGCTGTCAGCTTCCTGGCGGGAACTGCTTCCACTAACAATAATAATAAAAATAATAATCTAGTAAAAGTAGAATACTACTACTACTACTAATAATAATAATAATAATAACAATAATAATAAGCAAAATAATAATAACATTAATGTAAAAGAAATACTACTGATACCATTAATAATACAAAAAATAATCTAGTGACAAAAATACTTCTGCTGCAACTACTACTACCGGTAATAATAATATTTAAAAAGCTAAAAATACTACTACTTATGCTATTACTACTACTACAGTTCATAACAATGGGGGGGAAATACTACTGATAACACTAATAATAGATATAAATAATCAAGTATAAATACTACTAATAATAACAATAACAATCAAGCAAAAAAATACTACTATTATTACTACTACTTATATTAATAATCAAGTAATACACAAATAAAAATATAATAACTCCTCAGATCACACTACAATCACATATGATGAACAGGGTGAATCTGATGGTGAATAGATCACACTACAATCACATATGATGAACACAGTGAATCTGATGGTGAATAGTTCACAATACAATCACATATGATGAACACGGGGAATCTGATGGTGAATAGATCACACTACAATCACATATGATGAACAGGGTGAATCTGATGGTGAATAGATCACACTACAATCACATATGACGAACAGGGTGAATCTGATGGTGAATAGATCACACTACAATCACATATGATGAACAATGAACAGGGTGAATCCGATGGTGAATAGATCACACAGGTTTATATGAAGATAGTAAACTTTTGAGTGAAGTTTGGTGAATAGTAAAGTTTCTGATACACACACACACTCCCGATCACGGATAAACGTTCCTCCTAATAAGACCCCTCACCCCACCGTCACCCCTCCACAGCTCTCACCCGCTTGGTGACCGGGTCGGATCCGGGCAGCGCAGGGATGTCTCAGTCACTAGGACGCGCGGACAGAGCAGAGGGTTGCTAGGTGTGACGTCACCTCCCGTCGAGCAAAAGTCAGCCCCCGGTGTAGAGATGGCCGGAGGGGCGCGCAGAAAGGGGGCGTGTTCATGGTATCCATGTGATGTATGGAGGGCTCTGAGGGGGGAGGCGGTCTGAGGCAGGATAGTTTTTTGTTTACCTGGTATGAAATGGAAAGTCTTCAGTATATGTAAAAACCCGACTGAGAGGACGAACTGGGCTCACTTACTTTCAGCAGCTCCAGCTCTGGTTAGCTCAGCAGCAGAGTCCAGTGTAGTGCCAGATATACATAGATTGGATCCATTGGCTCAGCAGTCAGCTGTCCTCGGCACTCCAGCTGTGGTGACACTACAAATTCCACCATGCATCTGTCTCTGGGAGTCATGCCTATGGCTGTCAGAGTCTTGCAATGCCTCATGGGACTTGTAGTTTCACCACATCTGGCGTGCCCAGGTTGGCCACCCCTGCATTAGATGTACAGTACATGATGTAGTTTTTAAAGATGAACTCCAGGCAGATATAAAAGACATCGGCTGCAGTCTGTGCTCTGCTGACACTTTTCCACAAAAGCTCCTTCAACAAAAGTCAATGGGAAACGCGACTTTTATTGATTGGAGGGGTGCTGATAGGGCCATACACTGGTCAAAGGTCGTCAGATTCAATCGAATGCGAGTGAGAGCAATAATTCTGGAGCCAATATTCACGCATATCTCTAAACTGATGACCTGTAAATTGCGTGCGTCCATGAAACTACGGTACCCCAAAGTGTCCATAGGCGACGTTTTAAAAGCCCTTAAAACGTCGCCTATGGACAATTTGGAGTACCGTAATTTGTCACCGCATTACGGACGCACACGATTTTTACCCTGGGCATGTTGGGTATCAATCTACTCGTTGCAACCTCATCTTTTATATATTACAAAAAAATGGGTATTATGTTGTGTTTATGAACACAAAAATGAACTGAAGCATTTTTTTACAAAATGTTTGGGTTTGATAAAGAGTTGCGCATTTTACGTGCGACGTAAAAATATGGAGATGCCGCCATTTTATTCTACAGGGTCTGTGCTTTCAGAAAATATAGAGAGAGGAATTTATCAAAACTGGAACAGAGGAAATCTGCCGCAGTTGCCCAGGGCAACCAATCAGCTTCTCTCTTCAGTTTGTTCAGTTACGATTTGAAAATGAAAGAGAGAACCTGATTGGTTGCCATGCACGGCTGCTCCAGATTTTGATAAATTCCCCTCATAATGTTTTAAGTAATTTTCAGGCCTAAAATGTGATTTATAACGTGTGTGCAAAAAAAGGCCGTGGCCACGAAAGGGCTGAAGGAGGGCTGGGCAGCTCCGGCCCTCCCCTGCTTGAGGCTAGGCTCACACCTAGGCAATTGAGCTGTTTTCGCTCTGTTGTCGCACGTTTTCGTTCGTGTGACCGTGCTTTGAAAATCGCCTGGTTTTCAATGCATAGAGATGTCTGTGGGACCCAAACCGCGTGACAACCGCCCGAAAATAGCTCCTGCACCCTTTTGCGCGACAGGCGATTTTGTCCGTGCAACAAACTGCAAAAGATGTGAACAGCCTCCATTGACTGCAATGCGAATCTGTGTAACTTAGCCTGAAAGCAATGAAAGTGATGGGAGATGTTCTCTGCACATGCCGCGTTTATACGAGAAGAGGCCAATAAGTTCTGACCCTCACCATGATCTAGATGTGCTAGGGGTCGGAAATGTTGCAGGTTTATAGGTGGATAGCTTAGTAATATGCAGGCCAATCTTTGTTTTTGTAGGTCGTGGTGAATTACAGTTAGAGCCAAGAGAAATGGAGTAGGTGTCATGCCGGACACAGTTGAATACCGAGCCGTGATTAGGTTCCTCCATCTTTAAGCCGTCATTCACACTGGAATCGGGCGGCACGTACAGCTCCGTGCAGGCCCATACCGAGCAGCTCCCGGGAAGGACAGGTGCTGCGTGTGATTAGTACGCAGCCCCCGTCCTCTATGGACTACGTGGCCGTAACCCCCCTACGCTCACCCGCCCTACACGACCGTGTGGGCAGGGCCAGATTTCCCGTTGGGGCAGCAGGGAGTAGAAGGGCAGCAGGGGTGTGGAATTCCTATCTCCCGATGCCCGGGCGGGTAGTTGTATCAGCACGGAGCTGTATGTGCCGGCCGATTGAGGGTGTGAATGAGGGCTAAGGGAAATCTGCCCAAATAATCTATGAAGATATGTCAGCTGTGTATGATTAGTGACCAGGGATGAAAGCTGGGTATATCTATATGATCCTGAGCAGTGGCGGAACAATGACCATAGCGACCCAGGCGGCCAGCCAGGACATCCCCCTGATGCCGTGCGGGCCGCCTGGGTCGCTATGGCATCTCAAGCTGCTGGCTGTCACTGGCGGCTGTGAGGAGAAAAGCGCCGCTATTTACATGTGCAGCGGCGCGTTCCTTCTCACAGCCGCTGCGGAGTCGGCGACAACCAGCAGCTTCAGAGGAGGTGGCTGGGCCCGTCGTTGGGGTCTTGTGATCGAGTAAGCGGGGCTTAGCGATGGGGAGGCGGGGCCCGATGATCGAGGAGGCAGGCCCCAGTGAGGGAGGAGACGGGGCCCGCAAGCGATCGTGGAGGAGAAGGAGGCGGACAGAGGATCGGAGCAGACAGGTAGGAGGGCTTGACCGTCCAACTGAGACCCGGCAGAGCCCACCGTAGAGAGTCTATGGTGGGCTCTGCAGGGTCACCCTCAGGTGGGCTGCGTGGGATCAACTAGAAATCACAGGGCCCCATGCAAAAGTTTGCTATGGGGCCCTGTGATTTCTAGTTACGCCCCTGATCCTGAGACTAAAGAAATGAGTCAAACATGGAAACATGCTTCATCACCCACCCCCAAAAAGGTTAAGGTGCGACATTCATCCGGCCAGGTCAGTGTTCTGGGATTGCAAGGGTATAATATTGACCGATTACGTACAAAAAGGGTTCTTCAATAACAGGAGCATACTACAGGAACGTACTACGAAAGCTTCGGGAGGCCATCAAAGAAAAAAGACGAGGTTTGCTATGAAAAGGGGTGTTGCTGCTCGCGGACAATGCACCTGCACATCGAGCTGCAAAAACTATGACTCTCTGCCCCGTCCACCTTACTCACCTGGCACCTTCGGACTTCTTCCTGTTTCCAAATCTGAAGAAACATTTATGGGGAAGACGTTTCCACAATGATGAGGGAGTCATTACTGACGTTGTTCGCTGGTTTTCCTCCAAATCTGCATACTTCCACGCGGATGGTGGTAAAGGTTTGTTCCACAGGTGTGAGAAGTGTGTAACCATAGGAGGTGATATGTAGAGAAGGAAGAGTCAGTGGGCTCAATTTCAGATCCCTAGCACATCTGGATCATGGTGAGGGTAAAGGTACACCTGCCGATTATCGTACGATAGTTGTGGGTGATCCCGAGCTCGTACGATATTTGGCAGGTGTATGGAAGGCGTGCGATAGTTTCTACTGTACGGTCGCACATGTTTTGTCTACCGAGCACGCTGGAAAACCTGCTGGAAAGCGTAAGATTTTCGGCGGGTTAGTGGCATGCTCGTAAGAGAAGGCGCACACTGCCCGCTCAGCATTGGAATCATCGGAAGCCCTCCCCTCAGGGGGGCGGGCTTGCGATGATCACAAGTAGGATCTGCCTGTCCAAGATGGCCAGATCGTACGAGCTTTTAATGACCTTACAACCATTGCACGATGAAAGTCATGCGATGGTTGTAAGGTGTATGGGCACCTTAACAGGGGTGTCCCGAGGTTTCTAGACCGTGTGACACCTCGCTGTGGCGTCACCTCGCGCACGCGCGACTATCTGATTGATACCTGCCGGCAGCCATCTTAGTGATGGACACCGACAGGGAGAGGAGTGGTTGTTCACCCGGCAGGATGAGGTATGTCGCCGGGTCCCCTCCTCTCTCCTGACACTGTCGGGCTCTCAGTCCATGACCGAGTGCCCGACTTTTTAGAGGGGGTGACACCAAAATGACTGTCAGTCATTTTGGTGTCACCCGCCTGCAGGCCGCACCCCCCTTGTGACGCCACTGGAGGGTAAGAACATATTGGCTTCCCCTTGTAAAGAGTCATGACAGAGAAATGCACACGTATCGCAGATATGTACCACGCGTGTTTTTTTGCTGCCCGGACATACACTTTGGTAATAATAAGCCATACCCAAATTAATAGCCCAGAGGTCAGCCGACCTGTTAGGGAGATTTCCCTTCACTTCCTGTCCCAGAGACACAACAGGAAATCCCTAAAATGATGGCGATTGTTCCCTTAGACCACGCGTGGGCAACCTCGGCCCTCCAGCTGTTGCGGAACTACAAGTCCCATGAGGCATTGCAAGACTCTGGCAACCAAAGGCATGACTCCCAGAGGCAGAAGCATCATGGGATCTGTAGTTTCAGCACAGCTGCAGCACCCTGGTTTGCCTACCCTTGTAAAGCTCCATCAAAATAAAACAAAAACGCAAGTTTGTGACACAAATACTTTTTATTTAAAGCATAAAATAGTAAAAAGTTCAACATGAAAAAATGTTTTGTAGTCAATTATTTTTTTTCCAAGAAAAACACGACTGAGGCTTCCAAAAAATAATAATAATACTGCACGCTGTGACTCACCACGTCCCTTCCAAGCAGCAAGAACATATGAGAAACAGCACCCCCGAAACTGTAAAAATGGTTTTGTATATTTGGCCTTGCGTTAAAAAAAATTGCACTTTTTTTGGCCATGTAATCGCTCGCTTTTTAATACTCTAATCGCTGAAGCAAGTGAGTCAGCAGCAAATAAATGATAAAAGAGCAAGACAAGGGGAAAGTGAAGGAGTACTTGCCGGCATATACAGCTGAAGGGAAACTATATGATTTTTTTTTTTTATACAGCTTGATGTATATGACTTCTTCTTCTTCTAGTACCCTGTTTCCCCAAAAATCAGACCTCCCCCAAAAATAAGACCTAGTTGTGACCATTCCCAGGGCCGGTGGTGGCATTAGGGGGAACCTGAAGAGCCGCGGGAGAGGCAGGAGAGAATCAGCGGTGCCAACTAAGCCAGCGCTAGAGGAAGTGAGGCGGCACTGGAGGGAGCAGAGCCACATAAGCCGATGCGCCACATAAGCGCCAGCTTCTGTCACAGGCGGAGCGATACCAAATGCACTCCGCCTGTGAGGAATCCATAGTGAAAGTGCGCTTCGTTAGCAAATTGCTCTTGGAAAGGCACAGCACCCCTGATCACCATATTTTTGTACATGAATACATGTAGACTGTTGTACATTAAAAAAAAAAAAAAAATAAGACCTACCCCGAAAATAAGACCTAGTGTGTTTTTTTGAGCCCAAATAAATATACGACAGTGTCTTATTTTCGGGGAAACACGGTATGTACATGGTGGGCAGCCATATTTGTTCATGACATAAGCAGCTTTGTAGTTTTGCACAGTTCAGGAGCCAGTCTGTCCAATCCAGGAGCCAGCAGGACATTTTTAGGAGCCAGCTCCATTGACAACAACTAGAGGAAGCCTCAGAAATTGGCGCCAGATGTAATTTTGTAGGGAGCATTGGCGACCTGGCTCCCGGGATTGGTCCAGCCGTGGTCTACATCATATGCTACAGTGCAAGTAGTACCTGTGTTAGTCTCCAAAACTGATCCCAATTTTCCCGGGGAGCCCCTTAGATCCAGGTCCATATTACTCAGGGAGCCCCTTAGATCCAGGTCCATATTGCTCAGGGAGCCCCTTAGATCCAGGTCCAATTTTCCCAGAGAGCCAATTAGATTCAATTAACAGGCTGAAACACATTTCCTATGGCCTGGACTAAAAACATTGAAATCATTTTTTTAAATCAGTTAAATATGAAATATGTTATTTACAATAGTGCCAGTTGAAGACAGACAGACAGACAGGACAGACAGACAGGACAGACAGACAGGACAGACAGACAGGACAGACAGACAGGACAGACAGACAGACAGGACATCTTCAATTATAACTGGCTATCTTTGATCTTGACAGGAGTCAAGGCCATGTGCAAAACCGAGGCCAGGGGTCCAGGCGGCTCCACAGGGGCACAGGTACTGATCCGAAGGCTTACACAGATACTACAAGGTCTCAGCACTGTTGTCACTTTTTTTTGCCCATGTCAAGATTTCTTTAAAGGAAACCTAAATACCTCTCCGATAGAAGCGATCATTGTCCTAAACGTACACTGAATGCTGATACCAGTGCAATAAAACACCTGCTCAGCATGACTGTGACTGAGGGGGCCCTGGAACTAGTATGCAGCTTGTAAGTGAGCAGACGGCCTTTTACCTTTCTGACATTTGACATTGCGCATTGCGTACTCATGAGGACAGCGGCTGCTGCATTAGCTTGTGGCAGGAGGCTTATATACAGGTGGCCACTAGGGGGAGCATTTCTATTTCTGAATATAACAAATAATGAAAAGAGCAAAATCAAGAAAAATGTAAAAGTCACATCGAAAATGTTAATGTTTTAATAAAAAGAACCAAATGTACGATTACTGAATATACATTATAGTCGCACCTTAAAGTGACCCTACCACAAACCAACTTAAAAAAACACTGCTGATAAGTATACAGTGTAGGTACAGAGGGTGGCCTATATATACCATATCAGAACCAGCTTCCAGTGCATTCCCTCAGCCTGAATGCAAGGCTGCTCTGATTAACATTAGCAGAGCACTTCCTGGCATGTGAGGGTGCCTAGGCTCTCCTGTACCTACATCCTCATGGCTGCATCTCTGCAGTGCGAGACCAAAGCCACTGCTGCCTCTGACTGTCTCTGGAGATTTGGTGATGTCTCTAATGAGCTGCTCATTGTTCTCCTTGCTGGAGGCTCTGACATGAGGAAGCAAAGCCCTGCCTGTACCAAGATGGCGGCCTCCACACAGAGACACAGTGCAGAACAAGACATGGTAAATCAGTAATTTGACCAGATCACGCACAGCCAACACCTGTGACTATTCCTTTGTCTGCGGTCTGCCCTTTTTGGCACAGCTTCCAAAGTTAAAGCGATATTAAACCTTACTTTTTAAAAAAAATATTTGCTATAGGGATGCCCACCTTTGCCTGAGGCTGTTGTTTTTCTTTAAATCTTTAAATTCCTCATTTTCAAGTGGGTAAACGCAGGGGTCTTCCCCCGCCCCTGTACGGGTGCCACCATTCTAATGGAGGCACCTGCGCACGCTCGTGCCCACAGTGACTGTGCTTTCATAGACACACACAGCCCTGTGGCAGGCCACGCCCCTTCTCTATTTGATTGATGGCATACGGAGCCTATGGCTCCCCTGCCATCAGTATGCTCCCCCTGCAACCAGGAAGCACATGGAATGGAGGATCACCTCGGGACCGTCGGTGGGGACGAGCGACGCTGACAGGTAAGCGTGGGGGGACTGGGGGAGAAAAAGGTTCTGGGCGGCTTTTACCGGAATGCAAAGCATGCAATAAGGTAAAAAAACGCCCAGACCTTAATACTACTTTAGGTTCCTGTATAAAGAGTCTAATTATAAACAATTCACCAAGCCATTAGCCCTTGTGAATCTCTATGAACGTTCGTTCTGTGCAAATAGGGGCAAAACAAACGTTCTCATGGTAAATGTAATACTGCATTATTGCCACTGGATGGAGCTGAGGAGCATCAGAAATTAATACTTCCTCCATCTAGTGGCCATAGTGTGGTATTACAATACATTCGAACTGAAAAGAAAATAGACTAAGAATGTTTGTTTTTGTCTCTATTCACACAGAGTGAATGTTCACAGAAATTCATAGGGTGAATGGATCTGTGAATTCTTTATACAGAGACCCTTTATATAGGAACTGAACTTTGGAAGCTGCGCCAAAAAAGGCAGGCAGCAGACAAAGGAATACGAGTCACCAGTATCAACTGTAGCTGATCTTGATAATTACTGACTTACCATGTCTTGTTCTGCACTATGTCTCTGTGTGAAGACGGCCATCCTGGTAGAGGCAGGGCGTTGCTTCCTCATGTCGGAGCCTCTAGTAAAGAAAACAGTAAGTAGCTCATTAGAGACAATCACCAAATCTCCTGAGACACAATCACCAAATCTCCTGAGACACAATCACCAAATCTCCTGAGACAGTCAGAGGCAGTGCCTGTGTCTATCTGGGGAGGAAGCCATCTTGGTGGAGGCAGGGCATTGCTTCCTCATGTCGGAGCCTCCAGTAAAGAAAACAGTAAGTAGCTCATTAGAGACATCACCTAATCTCCTGAGACAGTCAGAGGCAGTGTCTGTGTCTATCTGGGGAGGAAGCCATCTTGGTGGAGGCAGGGCGTTGCTTCCTCAAGCCAGAGCCTCCAGCAAGGAGAACAGGGAGCAGCTCTCTGATGACTTCATCAAAACTCCTGAGGCAGTGCCTTAGATCTCACACTACAGATATACAGTTATCAGGCTGTAGGTACAGGAGAGCCTAGGCACACAGGAGGGACCGGTGCGGCATACCAGGAAGTGCTCTGCTATTCTCCAGGAAGAATTTAAGACAAAAAGTAGAATTTTCCGGGTACAGCTTAGGCACCATTAACATTTCTAAATGTTCCCTACAGCATAGGAAATCTTCACCTTTTGAGCAGAGGATCACTTTAATGTCCAATCAGAATGACCCCAACATTCGGGCCCAGCGAAAGCAACTAAAGCCGTTGCAGGTACGTTCAGCCTCCTGTATATCTAACACTGTATACATACCAGCAATGTTTATTTTTAAGTGTTTCTTAAAGTGACAGAGTCGCTTTAAACATTGTTCCTCATTTTACATTCCCAGCAAGCAGTTTTCGAAACCGTCAGCCGAACTTATCATAGTTATAAAAAAAAAACAACAATTAAGGAAATAAAAAAAAAAAAAAAAGAAGTTTACTATCCGGTGCCTTTCATTAAGTACCTTTACTAATCCACTGATAGGACGATCGATGACAGCATTTCACAACCATTTCTGCTCACTCGGTGATTAAGATATTTGGTTGTTTAAAACCAAAACAACAAAAAGTTGACCCTCATCCCCCAAAAAAGTTAACAAAGCCTGATTTTAGAGTACATGATTGAATGGCGGTTGATGGAGAAGCGATCGTGTAGTAAAGGGAACCTTAAAACAGGTTTAGTAAGATACTTATTGAAAAAAGGAAGAATAAACCAGCAGCGTACATCTGAAGAGGGGCGAGCGCCAAAAACATTGGGGTGGGGGTGGGGGCTGAACAAGAAAAGCTTTCAGGCCCCTTGTCAGATCCGAGCAAGATTGTAGTCATCCAATGAGATCCGTGTCAAGATACACCTGTGCCTGGCATTCGGAAACACTCCTTGCTGGAGGCGGAGGAAGGAAGGGGGAGGGGGTCCATCCAGCAGAGAACGTGTGGCACGAAATGTTGCTTTCCAGCAAGGGAACCGGTGATGGAAGCTGCCGCTCTACGTCTTCCAAAAGAAGGGGTTCTGTGCCAGGCGCCGCTGGAAGTTCTCGTACCTGTGAGGGGACAAGAAGAAAAGCAGATTGAATGACAAAGCGGAACTCCGGGGATTTAATACACTTGCCCTTGCAGTGGGGCTACCCCGGCACTGCAAGGGTTAACTTCATGTTTTGTCCAGGGGGGGGTAAAATAAAGCAGATATACTCACCTGATCCTCGGTCCCACAGCGGTCACCCCTCTCCAGCTGTGGTATGTCCCTTGCCATCCTCATGTCTAAAGCAAGTTCATGGACCTGCATAAGACATGATGACATCAGTGGTCCTTAGACCACCAGGGTCGAGGGGTGGGGGGGGGAGGCTGTAGGGACCAGCCTAGTAGCCAGGAGGGATCGAGGATCAGATGAGTACACCCCTAACATTTTGGTAAATATTTTATGATATCGTGTCATGTGACGACACAGAAGAAATGACACTTTGCTACAATGTAAAGTAGTGAGTGTACAGCTTGTATATCAGTGACATTTGCTGCCCCCTCAAAATAACTCAGCACACTGCCATTAATGTCTAAACCGCTGGCAACAAAAGTGAGTACACCCCTAAGTGAAAATGTCCAAATTAGCCATTTTCCCTCCCCGGTGTCATGTGACTCGTTAGTGTTACAAGGTCTCAGGTGTGAATGGGGAGCAGGTGTGTTACATTTGGTGTTATCGCTCTCACTCTCTCATACTGGTGACTGGAAGTTCAACATGGCACATGAAATGATAGAATCAAATATTTACAAAAATGTGAGGGGTGTATGAGATATGCTTTGTTGGATTCCCCTAGACAAAACAAGCACTTAACCCTTGCAGTGCGGGGGGGGGGGGAAAGGGAAGGATAATCAGCAGGAGAAATGGGGGAGGCACAGAATAATAGAATAAATGAGGCAGGGAGATCCTTGCAGTGCAGGTCCTCGGTTACAGCTTTCCCTCCAGCACAGAGAACGGTGAGCAGCACAGTAGTGACATCACCAAATCTCACATCAAATGTGGTGAGGACAGCAAGTCCATTGAAACTATATGTCCTGATCTATAAAGCCCCAGGCAGATGAATCCCTAAAAACTGATACAAGGCCGTCCCGGGCTCTGCTGTCCTTCTTGTGGGTCTGGGACTAGCATGGTGGATGTCTGTCCGCTGATCTCCTCCCCGCTGAATGAAACCAGAACCAATGCTGATTTTATCACCACACAGGTTCCGAGCCGTCATTTCATCTGTGCTTGGATGGGCTGCAAAAGGTGACATTAGGGGTCTAATAGAAACCTAATGTCATCTTAAAGAGAACCTGCCACTACTAAAGTGCCATCACATAGGGGCTTGCAAACCCCCCTATGTGATAGCAATGAAGTAAAAAAAAAGGAAAAACAAAAAATTAAATGAAATGTAAAAACACCCCAAAAAATGTTTTAAATGTCCCCTGTCAGAGTGCGAGTGACTACTTTCATCTATCTACATTTCATGGAGGCATCTGTTGTCACCACCGCACCCACCCGGTTGGATTTAGGTTTTTGTCCGGTCAGGAGTGCGATGGGACAGGAGGATTAAGTCCCATGTACATACTAACGCAAACATGCATCAGTTGCACCGATGTACAAAAACAACAATTGTGCCACACATTAGGTATCGCCGCGTGCACCAGAGTGAGAATTCCAAAAGATGTCACCAGCACTCCAAAAGTAGATTCAATATATTTTAATGACAACGGTCATTCAAAATCACAAGTACTTTCGGGGCCACGTTGGACAATTTCACCAGAGTGAGAGTCACAATTTTAGGGCCAATATTCACGGATATCTCCAAACTGATGACCTCTATCGGTTTTTAAAGCATCACCTATGGCTCTGGCTCAGTGTCAGCGGGAGGATCAGGTCTTTATACCCTGAGGAAGGCGGTAAGCCCCTGAAACGCGTTCGTTCGGAGGACCTATGGCTGACAGGTGCAGCGGTGTTAATATGTGTATGTAGGTGCTTATGGAGTCGGCTCCGACATCTGAAATGTGAGACATGTCTGGGACGTGGAGATTTTTTACGCTATGTGCCTACGATTCATCTGGCTTTGCGAGTAATATTATAAAATCCTTTCTTATTGTTACAATAAAAGTATTTCATGAAGACAAGGCGTCATCCTAGTTTGTGTTTTTTCTTCTACATGTGTGCCAAAAAAAAAATACAAAAACGGTTCTGGCAGCAAGAGGGTTAAATGCATTGAACAGAAAAACTACACGTCCATCTAAGACTACCATTTGTCCACTTCCTGTAATATGGTGACAACGCTGTTTTTTCTTCAGTGAAATCGTACAGCAGCGTTGTCATCCAGTTACAGGAAGAGGAAATCCGATGGATCTACTAGCCAGGTCAACAGTTAATAAAACGATGTCACAGGAGTGACTCTGAAAAACAGCCGAGTTGATGCCAGTGACAGACTCATCACATCATATATGTCCTTTGTGACTTTGCCTATAGCTCCAATTCAGGCATCACCATGGCGTCTGGATGTCCAACCAGCAATGTAAATAGCAGGATCGCAGAACAATCAACGCTTGACAGGTTCTCCTTACCATTTGAGGACCACGTTGGCCGGTATAAAGACTTCCGAAGGGTTAGGGGTCATCTGTGCCTGGGATATGGTGAAGGACGTGGCAAAATTATAGAAGTTGTCCAACATTTTCTGAGTGTACTGGGAGGAGAAAAAAGGGAAATGTAAAAAGTAATTCAATGAAGAAGAGTGAACGTACTGCAAGACGGCATCGCCCTTAGGGGCCCATTCACGCCTGTACAGAGACATGCTCCCGGGAAGGGCCTGTGCTGCATTTCATTGTTAACAGTTATATTGCATATTAACCGACTGAAAGACAAAAACGGCTTTAAAATCAAAGTTCTTTTGTATTTCCACCAATCTCCAGAAAATACATACAAATCCAATATACATTTCCTCTGCCAAGCACTGGGCGAGCGCCCCCTAGTGGGCAAACACATCATGTGGCTTCACTAAACCAGACAAGGATTTACAAAGTAATGGGATGGGGCTGATCTGACCAGTACCATCCACTCTGCTAGCAAGTATGGGGAAACTGAGAAAAACAAAAAAAAATATGGCTGACCCTAGAGTGATATGATAAATCACATGATGGGCCAATTAGAAACCCTTCAGTAGGAAAAACATACATTAAAGAAGTGTTTCTCTGTATTTTTACAGTCATGGCATCCTTTAAAAGTATGCAAAATCTTGAGGCACCGTACAAAATCCATAACAGATCCCTATCCATAATAGGTGTCTGGGAGGGATTTTAACGGGGGACCCCACGCAAAAACACAAAAAAAAGTGTTCCCCTTCACATAAGAGCACCCCCCCATCCAAATGCCCCCTTTCATATCGGAGTCTCCCTTTATTTCAGAAGCTGCCCCCTTCACATCCGAGTCCCCCTTCATTTCAGAAGCCCCCTCCACATACGAGTCCCACTTCATTTCAGAAGCCCCCTTCACATCCGAGTCCCCCTTCATTTCAGAAGCCCCCTTCACATCAGAGTCCCCCTTCATTTCAGAAGCCCCCTTCACATCCGAGTCCCCCTTCATTTCAGAAGCCCCCTTCACATCCGAGTCCCCCTTCATTTCAGAAGCCCCCTTCACATCCGAGTCCCCCTTCATTTCAGAAGCCCCCTCCACATCCGAGTCCCCCTTCATTTCAGAAGCCCCCTTCACATCCGAGTCC